ATTTGTCATATTCGACCCCTTTCGCAGTACTCATCTTACCATTGTTTATGCCTTTGTGTCTGTCTGTCTGTCTCTTTTACCACTGTGAATCATTACTCTGTCTCCCATCTCGACTTTTTGTCACTTTGATGTTCCTTCTCCCCTCTGTGAAGCCCGAAGTCAGCTAAAGGGCTAATGATAACTATCAAAACGCCTGCCATTTGATATAAATAAACAATATTCGTGGTGAAGTGGGGTGTGCGATAGACTTACCTCCACGTGGTGCAACCTGGGCAACGTATACTCATACTTCTGACTTCAAACTACCATGACCCAACTGAATGTCATTTTTGACCCCTTCCACAGTACTCATCTAGCCCTTTCTCTGCCTTTGTGTCTGTTTGTCTCTTTTACACCTGTGAATCGCTCTTCTTTTCTTCTGTCGAATTTTTCTCACTTTAATGTTCCTCCCTTCTGTGAAGCCCGAAGTCAGCTAAAGGGCTAATGATAACTATCAAAATGTCTGCTATTTAAAAAAATATTCGCAGTCAAGTAGATAATATTTTCATTGTCAATTATACCTGAATTAGAACGTTTCTTTCGTGTAGCTAATGACTTAAAGTTGCCTAAACCGTGGGTGTGGCCTCCACATGAATGTCTACTGTCATATCTTCCACCACATTCCTGATCGTTTACTTCCAATGAACTTAAAATGAGGTCTTGGTGCAATCTGGAGCGTGATATCGATGACATCCAGATTAACACTTTGCCATCTGAACATCCCTGAAATTAAACTTACCGTATTTTTGAACATATTTCCGAGAATATAGCCATCCGGCGTTCAGGCGGTTTATCTCGAGCACCGGCTAGTTTAAGCTTCGCCTGATTGGGCGATAAGTCTGTTGGATGATATCTCTGATGAGCTCCTGTGTTTTCATTGGCTAACCAGTCACCCAATGGGATTGTGCCTTCGCACCATTCGATCAAACCACTGCGACGAGCCAATGGAACAACCTAAAGAAGAGATTCAACTTGAAATCAACTAACCAGGCAAATATTATTTAATAACGAATTTCTAAATATAAGTGTAGCTACCATAGTAAGATGAAGTTTGGTCTTTATTATTTTTTAACTGTAAATATGAACCGAGGAAGTGTTTACAGATTACGTGGAGGTGATTCCGGCTGGCACTTCATGCCAAACTATCTGCGTGGTTCATATCTAATACGTACTGATGTGACGTGGAGATTGCGTGGTCTTAGCATCAACTGGAGAGAAAAAAACATAAAGAGGTGGGTAGATGGGCCTATTGCAGTGCTTACGGTACTATCTGATCTTGAGTTGTAGTGTTTAATGGAGGTGTTAATTTTTTCTTATTACGTAGCTCATGAGTAGTTGAGCGGTGTACTTAAACCCATTAAATTACGGCAGGAATAACTCTTTACAACCGGAAACCGACGGAGAAACAATTCAGCTGACTTTTAGGGAATGCATATGCCTGGAGGGGATATTCGGGATGAATTTTGCAGTCTCACCAGGAAAAGGTGTTCAATAACTACAGGAAGAAATGAGCTTTCGAGAAATTCGTTTCAATAGTCTAACTCAACACAACCGCCGTTTGAGTCTATTTTAGCCTTAAATCGACTGGTTGGTCTCTGTAGTAATTAAATGGCGATTAGTGTCCTCCTCGACATCGTATAATACTAGTCCAACAGGATAATAAACGGAGAGTTCTGAGGCCAGGCATACATTGGAATCGATGTGGTCGTAGAGACTTGTAGCCTTTCCATTTTAGCAAAATACTTTCTCATAGATAGAGAGAAAGCTAGATTGCTTCCACTTCAGCAGGATGTTTCGGTTTAATCAAAAGTCAAGCCATTTTCACAGGTCTATTCTGCGTGAATGCATGAATGAGCTTGAGAGTGTGTTGGATTCATGGTGAGGGCTGAAGGATTCCATTAACTGTGGTGACAATGCCCCAATTCCGATGGCCCCAGGGTGCTAGAAAACTTTCTCACTTCCTCGCAAATTCGCTATGTGAACGCAATCAGATCAGATCCTCTCTTTTTGCCAAAGTAGGCTCATAGTCTCAATTGCGATTCACAGTGCTGAAGGAACAGTGACCATCGACCACAATCTCCCCCCATTTTGACGCACATTATTCCCTTCAATGAGTCAGGTGGATTGCAATCAATCACCCTCATTGTCATCGCATAGAAATCAATGCGGATAGGCTTCAATTTTCATCTTAAATAAATACAGACTGTAAAATGCATAACAAAACCTTGTGTTTTTAGGTGTTTAAACCTGAGGAAAGCTCTATATCGCGAACACATGATATAGGAAGGTCAAATAAATTAATTTTGAGACATTACAAACAAGCATATAGGTGGGAGAAAGATGTTCCACTTTTAATACAAAAAAATAACGTTATCGCTTATTGAAGAACTTGATTTTGAAGAAGGAGAAACTTCTAAATCACAATAGGGAGAAAAAAAGATTACTTACAATGTAAGTCTTAACATGCATGGGAATCCCAAGAGAATGAATCGATGACGCTTTTCTGCGTTTGGATTGGTTGGAGGCGGGAAAGCTAGCCAGTAGATGATTGGCCGCTGAAAACACCTATGAAGAAAATGGTAATAGATAACTAAATAACGACACGAAAGATAACATTATTTGAGTATGTAGATTGTTGAAAAAAATAGTACTAGATGATGAAACACACATCGAAATGAGATTGACAAAAAGATATTTTATATCAAATGACAGGTTTTGTGATTGCCCTCAATAGCCCATTGGTTGACTTCGGTCTTCACAGGGAGAAGGAACATCAAAGTGAGAAAAAGTGGAAAGGGGAAATGAAAGAGTGATTCACAAATGTAGAACAGTCAGACAGACACAAAGGTAGAGAAAAGGACAGGTGAGTGCTGTGGAAGTGGTCGAATGTGTCATACAATCGAGTCATGGTAGTTTGAAATCAACCGCCAGGTTTATAGACTTTTTGCCGTTTGAGTATACGTTGTCCAGGGTGCACCACATGGAGGTGAGTCTATCGCACACCCCGCTTCTACAAAAATTTTGATGTGATTTATAATC